ATTTGCGCGCTACATTTGAAACTGTGCACTGTAGGATAGTAATATCTTTAACACTACACTGTTCAGAATATAAGACATACTCTAACATAGCAATCTCGTAGTTTGACACGTTGATCGCCACGTCACCCTTTCACCGGAGAACTCAAAAAATTGTTTCCAAAAGTCAAGCGTCAAAGAAAATTCATTTTTAACGCAACTTTCGAATTTCGATTAAATAAATACCACAATAAACGTTCGATTACGTTGTTTTCAGTAGACTATAAACAAAATTTAAACAGAGTAGACATTTTCAAGAGTATTAGTCATCATTAGACATCACGAGAACGATTACAGTAAAATTCTGCAATAAAAAAATTATTTAAAAGCCTCCGTACGCATCGAACACGAGTTTCCGTTGAACCGAAGTCGCAAGAATCGAATTAGATTCTATCATCGAGCGGAAAATTGAGCACGGTAACGTCCACCGCGGAATTTACCCCCACAATGGCGGTCCGATAAGAGCAATACCGCGTTCACTGTAAACACACGCGTTACCCGCGCTCGCGGAACTTGTTTAACAATACTTAAATTCCGCGTCTCCGACACGGCCATTGTTGGTACGCCTTTATCGCGCCAACGTCCAGGGTACCACGATCGTACTACGAGGAGGGGGTGGGTTCTTAGACGTTGCACCGCCAAGGGGGGTGAATTAAAGTGGCGCATTAAACTCTACAAAAGCGTAATTTGCTTCGAAGTATTCGCCTTCTTTCCGACAAATAAAGCGAAACGCGCGCCCATGTTCGCGAACGGAAAAAGGCGAGTCCAGCACGGAAAGTAATTGGGCTTACACCTGAAGTGGATTTATGGAGATTTATGCGAATAAATAGAGGTCTATGTGGTATCGTAAACGCGAGTTTTATTGTCGTCGGAGAATGGAAAGGATTAATTGTCTGCTCTTGTTGTTCTGGCTCCTTCCAATTTCCGCGACGGATAGGTTGTGAATATTATTTTGATTAAAAAGACAGTAGAAATTATTTTGGTTAAAATCTGAACGAGCGTAATTTTTATATAAAATAAGCTTCTCACCGCGAAGAATCGTTCTCCTTTGAGTCCTGACTCTCAGCTTGCTTAATTAACATAATTAATTCCGTCGTTGGAAGTTAGAAAATTTCAACAAATTATTATATTATCTCGATGATATCGTTCCTCCTGATATGAAACTCGTCGCGAAAGAACTTGTGGCGACCTCCAGTAGTTTCGCGCCATGCCTCGGGAGAGGAAAAGAAAAACTGTTTACAAGGTTTTATAGGGAATTTCATAGGTCCAGGAACCTCAGCGGTAACATAAATATTTGGACCCGGGGGTCTCGTAAACGTCCGGCATTCGGCGAAAGCGGACAGCAGATGCTGGAAGCTCGCTCTTCACGATTAGATTTACAAGATCACTTCAAAAGTCCTGGAGCACAAGAAATATCTCAAAGATGCTGCAACATTTCTTACGTGTACTTTAAGCGTTATTTTCACGACACTAGATACTAGGAAAACCTTCTGAAGTGGTTCAAGCTAAACGTTTAAAGTATGTAGTTCGGTATGTTGTATAGAAAGACATTATATAATATTTGTTAAGCAACGAAAGACATAGTTATCTGACGTAGTTATACAGTCAGTCCCATAAATATTCATACCCTCTGTGTCTATCGAAGAAGTTTGGCTAAATTGAATAATAGTTTTGGTGTCACCAAAATGAATTTTTCATTACAAATATGTATACGAATACGCTAATAAGCTTGTACACGTGTATATTTATATATACATCAAGAAACATACATATAACATTGTCATTTAATTTAAACAAATTTCTCAATAGACCCAGAGATTTATGGGACATACGAACAAAATTTGTACAATCACTGGAATAGTATTATTATTTCGTTTTGCACAAGTACGCGTAACTTTTCGTTCTGTTTAGCATAAAATCCGCGATCTATTTATATATCACCACAGTCAAAATAGGAATCGTTCGATGGAATCGTCACTCGGTTAGCGAAAGCAATAAATCATAGTCATTACGAGAATATTAGAGAGACAGAAACGATTGTTTCACGCGGTTCCGTTGAATGTTTAAACAGTGATTCTATTGATGATGATACATATTCATAAAGCATAAACTTGTCGACAAGGACGGTCTTCTTAGCTTAAGTGGTGCGCTTCGTTCACGATGCAGATTACCAGTCATAACGCGTAACATAGTGTGCGCGTATTCTGTCGTCTCGTTTAAACACGTCCTTTAGCATTTATCGAATACGCGAGCGTAATGCGTTTACTATCCGCTGTTATGCGAAAGATGTTGGCCGCCCTGGAGCGAGCCGCGCAACAGCTGTTCGATTAATCATCAACCATAGAGAGCGGACGTCGTCGGTGTAATAAACAAATTACGAGTGAAAATTAGACTTGTTACTAGTCGGTACAAACATAACTTTATTCGTAGTGAAGGGTGGTTTTTGTTTAAATGAGAGGAGGTACGAGTTTTTCAAAGAGTGTTAAAATTTCCTGCTTAGAGACGAAGTATGTTCTGTAGACATACTAATATAACTATATATAAATTATATTAGATGGGTGTACTCTACACCGATTGTGTTTTATTAGAACTCAACTCATAAAACACCCCTGGAAATTGTATCTTATATAATTTATATTATATACGTGCGTGTAAACGTATTAATTATCTACAGATCGCTCGAACAGCCTACTCCCACAAACAAATTAATTAGTCAATGTTCGTTTCGCAAATATCACTCGATTTATATTTCGAAAACGTCGTCCAGCATCTATTTCAATTACGCGTCCGATGATTGTCGCGCAGCACCAGCGATTCCGCGAGTTCTTCAGGGCCTTCCACCCGCCAATTTCGCGACCAGACGAGACATAATTCGCGACAGATCGTCCTATCGCGTAATCGCGATAATATGTCACGGCGCGAACACGTTTCGCTACCGAGCTGAACGCGTTACGTCATTTCGATGCCTGACCAGAGGGATACTTACATATTTGGAAGATCTCTTTCCTCGGCGAGGTCGTCGCGCGAAAGTAAAAAAGCACGACGAATAAAAAGCGACGAATTTTGCAACGCGAGCACGCTGAAATCGTGAAATCTTTGTCGAACCCAAGCCACTTCTCCGCAAAAGTGTCCAAAATGAGATATATACAATTGAAAGAACAGTTGAAAGATTCGCGTGCAACGAACTCATCTCGATGAGCTTTATTTTCTATTTCTGTTACGGGTAGCGAGAAAGTTCGATTTTTTAATTGGCTCGCAACGAAACCATCGCAACCCGTCGCGATTAAATGTTACCATCGCTTTTCTTCAGTTTCGCGCATCACTTTTGAAACGTGAAAGTTTAATTGGCGTCCACGCTCCGATTCCGAAACGAGTTTTCGTCGCGTATGTTAATTTAATCGGCGTTCACTCTTTTTTTTTTTTTTTTGTTTTTGTTTTTAATGTAAACGTCCATCCAGGTAGTCGATCACTTTCGCGGCGCGGACAATTAATTATAAGATCAATGGATCGATGGATCCGATTCCTGGAAGCTTGTTCGTAAAAATTCCGAAGCGACGGTACCTTGACACGCGATTGGAAACGAGGCGACTTGTCACAACCAATTGCGTAGGTGGCGTTAAACTGATGCATTAATGCAACAGTGACCTTGATTCCGCGTAATTTTCAATCGTGGGGGGATTCTGAAGCGCGGCTCCGCTTTTTCTTCTGTTACGTAAAATCGCCGTTATTGAAACGTTCGCTACAGGGTTGGCTCGAATTTACGCCAGGCTTCTGTTTTTAAATCACGGAACGATCTTCCTCGATAAACATTCGGTTCGCGAACTCGATCTGGAATCGCGAACGTTTTTGCGAGCTGTTTAAAAACGAACCGGGAACGGCGATAAAGAATGAAAAGACCGATGTTTTGCTTCGCGATGATGTAATTCCTCCTTTTTCACGAATATTTTTAGTAGCTCTCGATTCGCGTACGATGAATTCGAGGGATGCTTCTCGAAGCTCGTATCGAAGGGAAATTATTCAGAGTCGTTCTTCCTCTACAGCGGGAATTTTAAATCCTTCGAAGAAGCCGGAATCGATGGAGAGAAATTATTAAAAAAAATTGTTTCCTATGAAATTGCCACGATTAGAGAAAACGAGTTTCGTAGCGACTGTTGTAGAACAGCTACGGCAGCAACGCGATCGCTTCGAGGTTCGTAGCTGGATCGGGGGCAACGGTTAGGTTAACGCTCGAAATTTCTAAATTCGGCTCACAATAAACAACGGAGCACCTGAATAACCAACGTGAATAACCCGCGGAACGTAAACGATGGCTGGTCTACTTTTTTAATAGAAAGAACGCTTTGCAACGTGCTCGTATTACGCGTGGAAGAGGCACGCTGTACGAGGACGGAGTGACATAACCGCGGAAAAGGATGAAAGAAACTCGAGGAAGGAAACACGTGCCGTCGTGTGTACACGATACACACCGCTTGCGAAGTTTCCTCGAAAATGCTGGACGCTCTTAAAGTCTCGTTGACATAAGAACAACTTTCGTCCTACGGGAAGCGCCAGTCCGTTTCCCTTCGTATTATTCATTTAGCGAACAACCGCCTCGAAATGGCCAGAAATATTCTTCTCGAAATAAACAATTCGAGTAGCCTGGGATAAACAGAATCAACGATAGCCGACGATCTATAATTTGTTCGTATACTCTTACGACACTTAAATATAATTTCTTTATACACGCGTGTTTTTTTTAATGATTCTTTTTCGGTGATTCAAATCAGTGGCGCAAATTCAAGTAACATTAACTGGATTTGTAATCGATTAACGAGAGCGTATATCGATTATTCACTGTTGGATCGTCTTAATTTCGAATATCTCTGGTTAAATACACAACGAACCGATTTAAGCTACGAACAAGTACGACAAAACTTATTTTAGAAAAGAACTTTCTTTAATTTCTGCCCTTTCGTTTGTTCCAGATCTGCAGGGATTCTTACAAATGCAATTGCACGGGAATAAAAGGTGTTGCGGGTTTCATTGGAGTAGCCGGACCAGAAGGACCGGAAGGACTCCCGGGTGACATCGGACCAGACGGTCCCCTCGGTCCGAAGGGCGAAAAAGGAGCCGGAGGAGAGTATGGCGGCGCCGGAGAAAAGGGCTACAGGGTGAGTGAACAATTTAAACATTTTCCAAATTAAAATAAAGTCATTTCTACGAGCGATGCGCTCATGGAAGACCAAACTCGATTAAAAATGATTTAAACGCGTGGATTTCCTAAAAGCGTCTGAAAGATCTTTCTCGATCTAAAAGTTGCGAAAACTGTATCGAATCCGTGTAACGACTATCCAACCGCATACGTTTTCAATTGATCGCTTTAACGTCGTCCGAGAAAAAAAACGCACGACGCGAACGCCCACGGCCGGAATTTTTGGTTGTCGATGTAATTATATTTACAACTGTTAACGAGAAGCACAGACAACTCTCTTTTTTTACCGCCGTGAGTCAAACTCAACAGCGGTGGGTGTACGAACGGAGAATAAAACACGACGACGTTACGCAAATCGGTACTATGGCGGATGTTTCTTAATTACTTTCGTATTTCAAACTCGTTTCGACGCGATTCACGCGAATTAACGCCTCGAAATTGGGCGGAATATTCGAGTTTCTTTGGCCGAGCTTCGAGATAAAAAGTATAGCTCGCGTGGGAGAGTTATTCTGCTGATATTTGCAGTTAGATCTTTTAATCCAGATGGTACGCAGGTGGAGTGGAATCGAACACCTCGAGGCATAGACATTTTTTACGCTCTTGGATGGTTATGTCAATTTTTAAATTTTGCTAGCGAACTGTGACAGGTAACGTCGATAAATTACCATAAATTTTCCAAAAATTCGTGATCTCTTTTACATTAAATTCGGTTCTATTTTTATGATAGAATAGGTTGAGTTGAATTGGCAGAAATTTAATAGTTACTCCACTCCAGCGGCTCGAACGATGGACCTATTAACTCGCCTACAAGAAATTAATCTTATTAATGTTTAAAATAATTCCACACCGAGGGCTAAACTCCAACACTTAATTGAGACACGATTCGTTGAAAGTGACGACAGCCCGTGGACAATTACCATGGAACCAGTATATGTGCTTTAATCAAGCCCGAGCCACTCAATGTTACAACGACCACCGAAAAACGAAAGGGACGCGAATCTCATTCCGGGGCACAATCAAACGAGGACCAATCGGATCGCGTGAGCGCTGCGTGGACCATTCGGCCGAGCTAACGAGTGCGGCAGATGCGTGTCGGTCTTTTTTTCTTTGTTTTTAATGCAATTATTCCTCGGCAACGGTGTACGCGAAAGAAGAATAATAATACGACAAAAAAAACAAAAAGAAAAGAAAGATCGCGTGGCATGGCGTCACCACGCAGAAGCGGAACGTTTCCAAATGCGGAGGAAGCGAAGAGCGGCCCGAACGAGAAGAGAATTACCGAACGGACTCCCACGAAGTACGCCCGCACTCGACGCAACGAGAACTATAGTATAGCGATACGTTATTTCGCAACTCGTTCAGTCCCTCGCGACATGACTTGACGCGGCATGAAAATGATAGCCTCCGATGAATTATGCGTGGCTATATTTGACACTATTGGGACTATATATGGCAACAAAGGCCGTCTCGATCGCGTCTTGTTGCGTTAGGTTCGTCTGTAACAGTTCGACTCGAAGTAATAGTCCTTTGCCTGTCTTTACAGGACGAGTGACTATAACACTCTTCTGGAACATTTAATGTGGACTCTCTTGCGCGAATCGTCACATTTTTGATAATTGTAGATTCAAATTGTCATTCTCGTCGTGTGACTATATAACTATATTCACGTGATTAGCAGACTCGAACGGACAATAGTCGTAGACGACGATACGTTTTGATATTCTGTAGCATCCATCTTTGACGATTCGGTTCGAAATAATAGTCGTTGACTATGCCAAAATGACTGTAAAACTCTTGCACAACAAGGACTGATTTTCTCAGACTGTATTCTGTATTACGTTTCCTTGGTACACTTAGTTTAAGAGGGCGATCCGCGACTATAAGACTCTTCTTAAGTCAATAACAGCAGCAATGTACTCTGGACTGTCTCCGATTTCCTTTATAGTCGAAGCTAGGATGATAATCTCCTTTGTGTGATAATAGAAACGACTATGAGATGTTTCTAGAGCAAATGGCGGAAGCTGCTTCCCCTTGACCTCATTTTATCACGTTTATCTGTGATAATTCATGTCGAGAATGCAATTAATGTTAAAAATGCAATCACGCCACGATAGGGACGGTATCTGCAAAATTTTTTCTGAGCGGATAACAAAATCTGCATTGCCTTGACTATTCATTTATTGCACTCGTTATCTCGCAATGATAGTCTTCGAGTAGATCGCGCAGCTAGAAGACCCTTCTCGAACAGATAGCTTAGCATTGCTTCACCCGAATCGTTCTCGATTACGTTTCTTTTCGGCAGGTGAAACTTTCAGCGTAGATGCATAAAATTAATCATATGGAATTAAAGGCTCGCGACGAGCAAGCTGGAACTCTATGATCCAACACCGAGGATTCTCTATGAACGTATTTCATCTCGTTGCCGGTTGGACAATTTAGATTTCGTGTAATCCTGTTTCGTGTGACCCCATTTCAGACTGTTGCGTTTCGACGTCGACGGAGCTTGGCGTGTTTGCACTGTCTCAGTCGGAATTTCTCAGCGAGCTGTAAAATCCCTCGCATTTAAATAAACGATTTGCACGTTAAACGACAGACTAATAATTTGATACATCTCGTGGTTTCTTTATTCGATATGTTTGCTTTGTTCGCGTTTCTATAATATAAAGGTTAAATAGGAAAATGTTCCTATTGGGAAGCATAGCAAACGACGTTTGTGGTGCACGCGCAACTTCGTGCTTCTGTTATCCACGATTCCATAGAAATTCTCGCTGTATCAGAGGGTCGAGAGTGTTTCTCTACCTAGGTGAACCGACTACTATCGATCAGTGGAAATTAAAGTCATACAAATCGAATCAAATTTTACTCCACGGAGCTCGAAGTTTTTGAGTTTGAAGTTTAAACTTAAAAGTCATACAAATCAAATCAAATTTTACTCCACAGGGCTCGAAGTTTTTGAGTTTGAAGTTTAAACTTCAACGTTTAACGAATGCAATAATTGCGTGTAACGTCACACGTTCAACGTCCAAATGATTTAAATGCTGCGTATGCGGGGTCCACTCCAACAAAATTTTAATTTTAGTCCCGGGCACGCAGCGTTTGAATGCGACGCGGTCGAACGAGATTACGTTAAATAAGATTACATAAACGTCAAACGAGGTTACGAGAAGAGCGGAGGATGCAGTAACGAGGTGATAAGGAACTTCATCGAAACGCTGCGAAAACGATGTTAAAGGCTCGGTGCATGGCGACCGGCGTGGCCGATTCCTTTAATGAACGTCTATCACTTCGCGGCCAGATAAGAAATTACGAGGGTCCGTTCTCCTCCTTTTTTTACGACACGTACGGATTGCATCTTTACATCGGGATGCCTGCGGCTCCAAACGAGTCGTGGGAATGACGTCACGGCCCTTTCTGGTACCGCTGCACCGAGCGACCTTTTACACCGCTGCAGCGTTGCCAGTATCCCCGATTTTCTCGCAGCCCTGACACTTTTTTTGCCATTTCGAAATATGCGGTAATCGACGATAAATAAACCGCGGTGTCGAGCGTGACTCAAGCGATTTTTTACCAACAGTCCACTCCGAATCTGAGGCGTTTTTAGTCTAAACTTTGGGAACAGGGAAGAAGTAGAAACTTTAGGATGACCAGGTACTGAAACAGGGATTTTTAAATTCTTTAGAAGATATCCTAAGAAGAAAGTGTACAAACCACAGTGATATGGAAAGAATATTCCCAATTATTATTGGTTAACACTGTTTAAATTCCGTAGAAGATATCCTAAGGAGAAAGGGTACAAACTACAGTGATATGGAAAGAATATTCTCAATTATTATTAGTCGTCCATCACTGTCTCAGTAAATCGTACAACAAAATTTTAGGCGAAGCCTAGCACGAGCAAGTAATACCGATTCCATCTGGTAACCGTGTAAACTGATCTCGTTTTGGACTCCGCGGGATTATTCGGGGACCAAGCCGCGATCCGCGCGCAATTCGATCGGAATAGCTACGATTTACGACACGGCGTGGGTGGAGTCTCGCGAACTCGTACGTCGAGAAATCCCCAGAAACGTGGGTGAGACGCGAGACGATCGAACGTGGAGAATATCGATGTAAATCGGCGACCCTGCGAGTCTTTTCATCCGGCGAAGAATTCCGTGGCGAACGCGGGGGTCTCGTCCCCGGTTGTATGCAAATTTCGTTGAGCTCATCGTCAACCGGATCGCCATAAATCGTCGGGTACCGTACGACTGCCATAAAGCTGAAAAAGGTACGCTTCATCAATCCTAGCGACGTTTTCACTCGATTATAAGAGTAGTTCACCTAACTCTCGCCTTCCTGATCACAGCAGAATCTCAGATAAAAGAATCTTCCAGTTCGAGACATATCGAGTCTCTGAGTCGTCAAACTTCCTCTCGATTTGGACAGATTTTAAGTAACAGTGGTTTAAGTAAAAGTTTGCTGATAACGTCAGTTTTTTCCCTACATTTTATTTGACACAGTCGACTGGTTCTGGTTTTGGAGCGCGTCTTTTGAGAAAATCAGAGGAATTCGTCTTTGGTCCGTTCGGCCAGTGGTCGCACGGCTTCATGAGTCGCCATTTTGGCGACCCCGAGAGTTCGCATAAAGCGCCCGATGAAACGAACGCGCGCACTGACGTCATGGTCCTTTCTGGAGAACGGACGCTGCGCCCGATGGCGCTCCGTGGCAGTCGATGTCACGAGCGAAAATGTACGCTCGTTCCTTCAAATTTTTTCACGACGTCTGGATACCACGGCGAGTAGTCCTGTTTATAGCGAATTCTGTTTGTGCTACGATGCACGGTATGGTCGACTAGAAACGAAGTCCGGGAACCAGTACTCATCCACGCTACTATAACGCCAGCATTCCTTCTCAACGTCGAAATTGTGAAAAAGGACTTTGATTACTTTGGCCAAACGAACTAGTTAAGTTTCATAATTATAGATATTGTCCTGGCATTTCGCTTATCTACACATTGGACTTTTCGTTCCCTTTGCGTTTAATTATTTCAAATTTTTGTACCTGAAGATGGTACGTAAAGTGGTCGAATCAGTTGCAATTCCAAACCTTCGCGTCGGTGAACGATACATCCATTTGTTTGAGTCAGGATAGGTTGAAGTTTGTTTAACATTTAAGTGATCGAAGGCACGCATAAAATTCCATGAAAAAAGAACCTCGAACGCCGAATGAATTTATGAACGGTAGCCGTGGATATTTCCAGACCGCATTTCAAAATTTCGCACGTTTTAATTGCGAATCGATCCGACGTCGTTCTCTGGAGAAGCCTCGCTGGAGGCTGGGTAGAAGCGACGGAGCAGGCCTCGCTTCGAAATTGCACGTCGGAGTAGTGGGAATGGCACAATTGTACGCTTTGGGTTAACGATTCGGCCCAGCTTTGGACGTAGGCGTTAATGATAAATTACAGCATCTCGCGTTCCTCCCGTTTGGCATTGATCCCTATCTACGTAACGATTACCCAGATATTACACATATTACGCGGGTACCCACGTGCGAGCCGCGGCCGATGAAGTCGTCCACGTCGTTGTCTCGTTATCAGGATTGGCACGAATTAGCCGCTAGAAACGCGGACCTTTCCGGATGCAGTTCCGCCCTGAGATTGGTCGCTTCGCGCTTCGTCGAGCCGCGGTGAACTCGAGTGAAACGATGATGCCCTTCATTTGAATTTAATTGCTTCGTATTGCGAGTTTATCGACGTTCGGTATAATCGAACGATAATGCCGGGCCCCCGTTGATATCCGATTAGGGAATTTCAGCTCGTTTCGATGACCCTTGATCGATCACTTTTGGGGCCATCTTCGCGTTCGGCGTGGTCGAGACCGGTATTCGGGGAAAAGTTGTGCGTTTACGCGGATTTCTCTACCTTTAACTCGAGTAAACTCTTGGAATCTCGTGTAAAGTTTTGTAAACTCATGTAAACTTCATATGAACTCTTGTATACTCGTGTCAACTTTTTATAAACTCATGTAAACTCGGGCAAACTCATGTAAACTTCATATAAACTCGTGTTAGCTCATGTAAACTTCATATAAACTCGTGTTAGCTCATGTAAACGTCATATAAACTCTTATAAACTCGTGTAAACTCGTGTAAACTCGTGTAAACTCGTCTAAACTCGTATAAACTCATATCAACTCGTGCAAACTTATGTAGACTTCATATAAATCCTTGTAAACTTGTGTAAACTCATATAAATTCATATCAACTTTTTATAAACTCATATTAACTCGTGTAAACTTATGTAAACTTCATATAAACTCTTGTAAATTTGTATAAACTCGTGTAATCTTCATATAAACTCGTGTAAACTCATATAAACTTTGTTAACTCGTGTAAACTCATATAAACTTTGTTAACTCGTGTAAACTCGTGTAAATTTCATACAAACTCGTGTAAACTCGTGTAAACTTGCTTATATTCGTCTAAATTTCTCTTAAAAAATCCCACCCCCATTGCTCTCTGCTCCTCTTGCTCGCGATGAAACACCACCACCAAACGCTATTGTTTGTCTGGTAAATTAAAAGATTCTTTCATCGAGCACGTGTCCCGTCGTCGGAGCGACGAAAGACAAGTTAAAAGGCAGGAAGGAAACGCACCGTGTGCACCGTGTTTCTTTACATTACTGTAAAGAAAACTCGAAGGGTCCACGCCCACGCAGCGAAAGAGACAGCGACATTGACGAGCGCACCCGGAGATGAGCACGTGGAATCCCCCGTTTTGTTTCGCTCCGACTAAGTAGGGTATCTAAGCGCCGATAAAGAAATCTCTGTTTCACCGCCGATACGCCTCTCTGCCACGCGGCTGTCCCTCGATACAGAACTTACGTGCCATTAACCCCTCGTGACATTCGCACTTTGAACCAGCCCGTTGTCGATTACACGAAAATGTACAGTCCGGCTAACAAAAGCGCGACTGGCGCGAGTTAATAGCTACTCGCAGTCGTTGGAAAAAATAATTGGAGGTGCTTACCGAGTGGAGAAACGATCGTGGCAACCCCATATCGACTGACAAGACTTTGAAATCACGTATCAATTTCAGAGATCAATTTCAATATCAGAGGACAGTCTCGTGATCCATGCTTTGGTGATACTAATAGCTTCGACAGCGTCACGTCGGAAGCAAGATGGATTCAACTAGATCCGGGATGAAATGCGAGTATTTCTTAGAGTGGCTTACGCGTTTGATCGTGTCACGGTATATTGTACGCCGAGTATGATAATTTGATTATACAAGAAACCGATGTAGATCCGAACTGGAACGAATAAAGGAAACGGCATAGGCTTCAAGGACTACGAAAGAGTGTAAAAGTGAAGTATAGGATAGGGAAGGCGTAGGCAGTTTCACTGAGGCCAGAGTTCCCTGTTGAATATTGATATCAAAGTCAATTGACGTATCTTCAGACGCTGAGCGTCGATATAGATCTGAATTGAGCCGAGGAAATGCGATGGTTATTAAGCAGTTTGATAGTAGTGGGTGGAGATAGGCGGCACACGGTTCATAGACACAAATAACACAGTGATTAGGTCTATTCTGTTTTTATATAAATTAGTATACTCGGTTGTCAGAAGATTGAAAATTAAATAGTGAAAGCGCCCAATTAGATTTTTCTTAGGAATTGTTTAGAAACTGTTGACGTAGAAATGTTCTGTCGGCACCGCCAAGAAGTCGAGGAAATGCTTTTTACGAATTTATAAGGTGGCGGTGGGACGGATAGGAACGCGCAGAAAGTTTCGCCAAGTACGGTGAACGGTGACGCGTTTTGTTCGCGATCGAATATCGGTATCCAAGCAAACCGGAACATAATTTTCCTGCCAGTTGCGCGTAAAATTCACCCATGAACAAGATCCGAACGAGAAAAACATAAACGGTGCGCGGTGCCGGATTTATCGAAAACGGGAGTAATCTCTTTCGATTCCTATTCGACCAATTGTTGATTTGCCGGTACATTTCACGGAGCGATAAGGGACATCGAAAGTTGATAACAGGCATGGAACGGATACACGCAGCGAAGTCCTACGCGTTCACTCGTCCTCCCATATCGCGAAATGCTGGGGCGAGAGGCATTTCCGTTCCGCAATCGTCTACACGTCGCTTTAATACCTCGCATCGTCTGACGACAATTTCACCACGAAACCATTCGTTCCATGCGAAAATCGAACGCGATCTACGTCCGCGATTTTTCTAAAAATAATCGTTCGCTGACGAATGGTATCCTCTCCGCTCCTTTTATTTTCGTTACCTAACTCTTCTATTTCGATATCTCCTCTCGTTAATCCCGAATTTTTAATCGTTCCCGAAGAACGTAATAGTAAAATCCGTCGTTACTGTTAAAATTGACGGATGCTGTACTCGATCAAATGAAAAATTCAGATTAAATTGGATCGAAAAGCAGCGTTTGCTTGTCCAACTTCCTTTCGGTTTGTCAAAATTTGCTACATTCGTCTACTTTTAATAATTCGCGAAGAACGTAATAGTAAAATCCGTCGTTACTTTTAAAATTGATGAATGCTGTTCTCGATCGAATGAAAAATTCAGATTAAATTTGATCGAAAAGCAGCGTTTACTTGTTCAAATTTCCTTTCGGTTTGTCAAAATTTGCTACTTTTGTCCGCGTTCGCACTCGTTCCTCCGACTCGATCGGATTCCCCGGCTTATCGTTCCCGAAGTAAGATTGCGTTTTCGCTAAATTAGGTCGGTTCCATTAAAAGCACGCGCGGACCAAGCTGAAAGAGGGATACTAATGAAAAATAAAGGATGGCGTACACCACGCGCATTGCGATAACGCACTTCCCATTGACAGATCATTCTGTACACCCAGCAACGTGGAACCGGATGTCGAGTGATCTCATATTCAGATATTCCCTGCCTGTCTTCCTTCCTTAATGTCTGACAGCGTTTCTGCAACTGCTTATCTCGAAACACGAAAATAAAAAGTGAAATTTGCTGTGCCAACGACACTCGTCGACTATCGCTTATTCCATTCATTAATTGTGCCGCTGATAAATTCTGTTGGTCGAAAATTAGGTGTTTTATCGTAATAACAACGATACGTTCTGAGATCTGTGGGCGAATAACAATATATATAAATTATTCGTACTGAATGAATTATTAAGTGGGAAAATATCGTCGATTATCGCGAATTTCAGCTAAATTCTGGTACGAAGACGATCTGGTTTCCCTAGAAATTGACTTCAACGACAAAATTCCACGGACATTTTGGATTTTTACGGTTATAATTACTTCGATTGAATTCGCGAAATCCGGAACGTTTCAATATTAGTAGGGAGTTATTCTTATTCGCACTGTTCTTTTAAAATCGATAAATTTTACGTTTCTTTCAAAAATTTGTACGTAAAATTTGTATGTAAAAATTTGTACATAGTTTTACCTTCGAGGTAGAAAATTGCAATTAATCCTGTGCTATTTTCTACTTGCGCATAGTGTCTTCGGACTCTGTATCGAGCGCATTCCATTTCGGGGCACAATTTATCGCTCTTCATCGTAGACTCAGCCCTTTGGTCGGGTTCACACCAAGCCAGCCAATCAGTGGTGTCCTTTAAAAGGAAGTGTGTCAATTTGTATCGAGTCTGACCATACACGGTAGACATCGGTAGCTTCTACCTGCCTCTGCCTATCGGTCTGCTCGTAAATTCGCGTTTCTCAAAGGCGACGCGACTTCCTGCCTCTTATTTCGTGCTCGTTTTGGACTTTTACGAGCCGCGACAAATGTTGCGTTGCACGCGCCTATTCGACGCGATTTAATCAGGTTTAATAAGTTCAAGCGAGATATTCGTTCGTACGATCGGTTCTGTCAAAAACCATTATCGCAGGAATCGTAACAAATCGCCGCTAATAAAACTTGTAAAAGCGAGTAACGTGATTATCGACGATTACGTGAAATTAGTTTATTTTCAAGACGTGTTGGCTAAATTTTCAATGAGAAATTTAACACTTTACCGACCGGTAGCGGTTGGATATATAATTATATTCAATATTTTTTATTTTGACAACAATCTCTATTTCTCTATAGTAATATATATATAATATGAATATCTAGTACAATTTAATGGTTTGTATAATGAATTGTGAAATTTAAAATGACACGTACAGTCAGTGTAATAAGTATTCGTACAGGAACCATTTATTTCAAATTCAATTCCTAGTATAATTTGCAATGCAACATTGCAATGTATCATGTTCAAATCGAATTCTTGAATTATTTATTTAACCCATAAAAGTAGAATTCTCAGTTTTATCGAATAAATCAGCTACGAACATTATTATTTGTACAATATAATTATTTGCTACAATTGCAGTAACTTATATAACACGAATGAATTCAGTAATACTTTTTTTATATTCTCGATTAATATTTACATATTTTATAATTCATATAACGATGAAAGTGTTAAATGTTACGTCAATAATAAATAACGAAGGTTGTCCTAACAAAAAGCCTATCGATAGGCTAACGGTCGGTGAAGTGTCGGAATGGACTCGGTAAAAATTGAGGTCGAATTTTTTAATCGAGATGAGAATGAAATTTGCTTGAGATTTGCCGATTGTTTCCAGCGCGACGATGTTATCCAATTTAAATCTGCCTCGGTTCTTGCACGTCAACGAATCCATTCGATTTCGTTAATTAACTATTTGGCAAATGCAACGAGCCGGAATCGCTCGACTGACGAAGGTATTCGACTCAATACCAGCTCGCTAATATTTCAACGTTACGCATTTGCTGGCCGTAATTAGTAAAGCGCGCACGGCTCTCATAAAGGTCGCTGAAATATCGTGCAGTTACAAACGGTTTGCGGTTCTATGAATTTATTAAGGTCAATAATTGTTCAACCGCTCCGTGCCCACCCCCTCCTACTATCTATGCATCGATTTACCTATTCGTCCGGTCGAATACCTGTCGATCCGATTCCCGTGTCCGAGTTCACGTCTGTTTTTGTTCGATATAACGTTCGTGGTCGCCGCGTCGCTTTATTTATCTCTCTAATTCGTAATCTAACATAGCTCTCGGAATACACGCGACCAAATAACGACGAAAGCAGCATTTTCGAAGCTTCGCTTTATGAATGATTTCGATACCGATCGAACGAACGCGCAATTCGTAATAATATTGCCGCATAATGTTCTCAATCGGGCACGTTTCTTGGAAGTTATGCAACAGGTTAACTGATAAAGCTGCTCTTTTCTTAAGCGTACTTTAAAGCTGTGATTCGTGTGCGTAATCGCGGCGAAGATAAGTGCGTTTCTGCGTAACGGAAAAAGATGTGACGAAACCGAGAATTTTCCATTACGAATAAAAATTTCGAGCGATCGTAGAAACACGGAACGCGGGTCGCGCGAATTTCAGAACTTTCCACTGAAATTTTTCAGCTCGAATTGAACACGCCGGGGGTGCGCGCGTGTTTACACGATCTTCGGAACGAACACGAAAGTGGAAGAACGATGAATCGAGGCAGAAGTTACTCGAGATATATTTTGTATGTATTATTTTTTGGTATTTTTTTACTTTTGATTGTACACGACTGCGCAGAACTCGGGTGCGTTGATGTAGCGATCGAATCCAGACGAAGATCGAAAAAGAGACGAAGGACCCTTTGAGCCGTATTGACGCATAAAATGGTAAATTAGGTATGCATAAGCGACTCATGCATGCGAACGCGGCGTGCAATCGTGTCAGGCCGGATTGGTACTGCGTCGGCAAGGGACTCAACCAATTTGCATTCACAAACTTCGATTCGATCCAGAAACCAGATCGGGGTCCTGATTTTCGCTTGTCGAATTACGCGTGTTCTGTTGTAGTTGGCTAGCGTAAAACTACACAGCGAGACGACTAAAAATGTCTATTTACACTAGGGATGTCGTGAAAAATCACTGACACTGATGGAACACTACGGAACTGAACGGATACGGAACTAACACATTACGGATATGTGTAAATAGACCTTAATTCCGTAATCAGAAAAATGCTCGAATTCTTCTTCGATACGTCGCGCAACCAACCAATCCAAGCGTACTTAAAAATACAAAGACCAAACTAACGTGTACCATTAGAATCTCGGTATTTAATTTTGATTGATTAAACCGTCGTACTAAAGGATTCTATCAATAATTTCGCTAAGTAATCGACAATCGTGATAAATGCCCGTTGAATTGCCTCTAATCGTGTTCAATGATTAACGAGTAATCAATCAAGGCTCGATTAGCTTTGAAAAGTTACAAATTACCGAGTCGCGAATGCAGATTAAAAAACCGTCATTTACGATTACACGTTAATCGTACAATTTCGGTACGATTGTTACGAAAGTAATTGGAACGTAATCGATGGCCCAGCTCGGGGCCACTGCACGTCAAGAAAGCATTGTCGAGCGAAAAGTTCTAATTACGCGTTTCGTTAACGACGCGTCACGCGAACGATCTCCGATAGCGTAGAAAAATGTGGCACGATTCGCGTTGTTAGCATGACGCGCTTCTGCAATTATATCGCGGCTCTTTACCACGAGACAATTGAGTGCAATAGAAAATTGCTAACGACGCGCTTTATTTTATGCACAACGGAATCGCGTTCGACAGACGGCTTTCGCGGGCACCGCATCAGGAAGCATTTGAAATGCTTATGGTTGTCGCTGCCGATTGGACGGCCTTCCAGCGAATCGAGGGTGCGATGTTATAATCGTCGATCAGCATCGCAACCAACGCGATTAACCACATTTAAATCAAGTGGGCGAGCGATCGCGTAATCCTGGAAGTCGTTATTTTTATAGATGAACGATTCCGTCGTAGGAATTGTCTGGATGAGAAATGGCTCGATTAATAGAACAATATTTTAACGATCTTTGATTTTTTTTACTACGTTCCAACCCTTCGAAAAATCCGACAAAATTAGAGATCACTAGTTCTAATAAGGGCTTCGTACTACGTAAATACACACGTGGTCACTTGACTAAAATGTTTGTGAATTTTTTAAGATTCGAATTTAGGTCCAAAAATTCTGAAAAAATTCTCGAATGTATATACTAATTGGTGAAGCAACCATGATTTTTTTCATAATTTTTTATCGAGCAGAACGGGAAATATCAAGGATAAACCGAAAAATGATTTCCACTCCGTTATTACCACTGTAGTAGAGATAACGGATCAAAACTCTGTGAATGCCACGAATCCCGGTCAATTTGGTTTAGGAGCACTTTATAAATGCATTCACCCATTTGTTAATTCCACCACACAAATGTGAACGTATGCGGTTGATAGTCATTTCAATAGAATATTTTTTGAACGTTAAATAACATCTTTAGAGAAAATTAAATATATATTCCAAACAATAACATTGTTGAAGTATTCAATCTCTGTTTTCTTTTCCAGGGTGATCAAGGTATACAAGGATTCCCAGGAGCTCCCGGACTTTCGGTTTGTACACATATCCCCATTCCGAATTTTCATTTAGAAATTATTATTCTTATTCCTTGTTATTCCAAATAAATGTATATCTCAGCACCTTCCAAATAACACCTCGTCTCCATTTCAAACAAAATTTGCTCAGGTCTGTTACTCGCAGTTCCCTCGTATCATTACGAACCGTTCGAAAGATAACTGACATTCATCGACTCGCATTTTTAACAAACCTGCGTTCGTAGGCTCACTTTACACCCGTCTGGCAAAGCGTTACACCGTAAAGTGAATAGGTCTCACCTTTGTAAAATGTTTCAAATAAAACGCGTAAAATTTCGTCGCCGCGAATAAGCAATCGCGAAACTCGGTCGAGTGCGCTTCGTTAATGTGTAGTGGGATTTGATCACCGGAGTGCCGATGGATTGAAAACTGTATTCGTTAAATCGAGGCAGTAAGTATTCTCGTTAAACAGAGCTCCAGATTTTCCCACTCGAAACGCTTCGCCTTCTTCGTACCGGACTGTTTCGCGACATTAATTTTCCATGCAATCGAAATAAATAAATAGTCGAAACTATAATCGAGTAACTCACGCGAAGATGTGTAAATAAATTCAAATTTTAAATCGAAATTAGCGGTAAAACCTTCCCGAATGCTACATAGAAATTCGAAGGCTCCGCCAGACTTGGTCAAATTTCGTTTGCTACTCGAGATCAAAAAAGCAACGCGAGTCCAAGTCTCGTTCTCCGTCGACGAGGCCATGTGGACGCTCCTTTAATAATGGCTGAAAAAAATACTGGAATAATTAAATTCCTGGCCGCAGGGCAACCCTGGTCTGCCTGGCGTGACTGGACCAGACGGTTTGGACGGATGCAACGGGACCGATGGACGTGCTGGATCACCTGGAATGCCTGGAGAGTACGGTAGACGCGGTTCTCCAGGTGCGATAGGGGATCCTGGTCCCACTGGCGAACCTGGCGACGGTGGTATCAACTCCGTCGGCGTGAAGGGTTACCGCGGAACTCCAGGCGTGGACGGACCCGAGGTAATTGAATTTACGGTCAACTAAATCGAAACGTACCCGGGCTTGTTTATTGAAAATTTTGTCGATGCGACAGAATTCATTGGTCGATATAGTTGCGTGTCCTAAATAAACAACTGTTCAGTGGTTTCGTTACGATACGGCACAATATAACTGATACAATTAGAAGTACGATAGTTCCAATTATCAAAGATTGGAACTTGCGTCGTTATTGAAGTATTAAACCTTGATGGAATTTAATGTATACGCAGTGTCTTCCAAAAGGTACTTCAAGATTCTATCTCTCAATCAAGTATGCATGTTACGGAATATACCTAGTGTTTCAAATTTTTCATCAAAGTAACGATAGTTAACAATCGTAAAACACAACATCGCGTGAGCGTCCATCAAGCCTGTATTATCGAAGAAATATCTGCGGAAAATCCCGAAAATCCTAAGATACTTTTCTTCCAAGTGCTTTTGATGCTTTTCATCTCTCGATTATCTAGATCTGAAATTTAAATAATCCCTGGTTCCCACAATCCCTGTTCGGGAAACGCTTTTACAAAGTTGTCGGGGGACGAGTACAAAATTGTTGTTCCTTCGTTGAGGTATCGGGCTCCGCAGACAAATCGCGTCGGTTCCTGGGAACGACGGGCCAGGACGAGCCGAATGGAAACTGTTTTGCGAGTGGTAGTAGCTTCGGGACGTGACGGGAATGCCGTGAATCCTGCGGTGGCCGCGGCGAAATTTCACCGTCCACTCCGCGCGGCGAGTTTTTCAACAGTTTGAATTGGAAATCGGAATCTTTCGTTGGAGTTGACGCTGCGTCGATCATTGTGCTTGCAACCTTCCGCTTGCAACGCGAAAGTTTGAAACGGGCCAGGTCGAGTCTTGCGGACGGATAAGCAAACTTTTTGAAACACGTGAAACTTCGAGGATTTTACTAAATTGAACGGCTGGGATCGAAGTTTCTTAAAGTATATTTGCTTTGCTTCTTCGTGGGGATAATTATTGCTAAGTTGGATAAAGACATGGTTGGATAAAGAGATGTTCGTTCAGAAGGTTATTTCAGGCTTGATTTACATCCGAAATAAGGTCAGTTATATCTAAAAAATAATTACTTTCGTGGAGTGAAAATTTAAAAAAAAACATCTAGTCGTCTAATTTCGTAACAATGATCCAATGACCCACCCAACTGATCGACTAAATGATTACCCGACCCTTTTCGAAATAATAGCAAGCCACAGTTCCTCCGGGGACCGATTAATACTCCTGTCGATAATTAACTCAATCCTCGCAGTTCTAGTTTGCTTACGGCGACAACCAGTGCCACGAAACAATCACTCCCGAACGATCAACTCGCGAAATGAATTTCCCTCGATTGTTCCGGATCGATCGGACCTGTTCGATGCTAAATCGCTTGAATTTTCTCCTCAGGGCCACGAGGGTCCGTACGGGATTCCAGGCGAAATGGGCTACCCTGGAGAAACGGGCGACATGGTGAGTTCAGAAACGCTATTTAATCATACTGATACGCTATTTGTTCGCAACTTGGTTACTGTTATATCTTCGTGAAAGGAGAGGGTGTTTTTAAAAAAATGGACAAATAAAACGGTTTGTTATATCGGAAGGGAATTTTATAAAGAGACAGAGGTACGACATGGTTGTTATATCAGAAGGGAATTTTGTAAGGAAACTGCGGTACGATTACGGAAAAATTAAATTCGAGGGGGCCTTGTTCTAAAGGAAAGGACAAATTTTTATATCAGAAAGGAATTCTATAAGAAGGGAAGAGAGATACAAATAATTTCCATACGAGAAAAGAAACGGCTATATATACAATAACCGTTGATGGAAATTCGCGTACATAGTCACGAAGGTTCGATGAATCTCGATGAAATTATATTTCGCTATAATTATGAACTGTCAATTTTATTTAATCTCAATTTCTCCTTTGGCGAATTTTGTAGCGAATGCCAGCACATCTTCCCTCCTCTTTCCTTGGACTTCCTCTTTCCTTCGTCCTCGGTATGACCGTTAAATATCGCCGGGGAATACTTTGCGAGGAGGGCGATATTTCATGGGAGCAGGTGGCGTTTCGCGAAAAAGAAGAAGACGGCGGTTCGGAGGGACCGAGGCTCATCGTCTCCCTTCGACGCTTTCGTTCCTTTCCGCCTTCTCTCTTATCTCGTTCCCGTGGCATCCGCGAATGAACGGCACGACCTAAACTCTCGTAAGAGGTTCACGAACCCACCAGGTTGGCCCGATCGGTCGTTACGGTACCCGAAGAGAGATAACCAGCGACAGTGGCGCGTTATACCGCGGGTAAACAAAGATGTCTGCCTAGGGCCCCGGATCGAAAGCGGATCCCGCAAACTCGTTGGTTCGATCGGACCATGATTTTCCCGTTTCTTAATTGTCGCGAAAAGCGAACCTTATATCTCTCAATTTTATCGAGGGACTCGTCAAACGCAGCTGACTAGTTAGCCCTTTGCACTCGAGAGATGAGTCTCAGTCACCACTAGGTTTCGCGTAACAAATCTACCAGCAATAATGTTCCTTTAGATTTCATTTCTTTGGTACTAGAGGTGTCAATAGAATGACATGTTCGAAGTCAATCGAAGCTTAGCGTTCAAGGCAATACAGAATGTAGAATGTAGAATGCCAAGAAAGCATCTCGAGTTGCTGGTAGATACCAAAAAAGAAGATCTCGAGTGCAAAGAGTTAATAAATATAAACCGTATGCTTATCAGACTGATTGTATATACCTCCCAAATACTGTAAACATCTCGTCAAAACTCCCTACAGACACAGAGGAAGATTACATCGAAAGATTACAAAGTAAATCTCACGATACAAAGTCTCGAATTCAACGAATTAAATCGAGAACCTAAACGGTCGCCTCGGAGCTTTAATCTCTCCTGCCATAATATACAAGGGATGAAATCGATGAATCGTAGCTTTAGATCGACAGAGGCTCCGATCTCTTACGAGAGACACACCGAGAGTTCTCCTCGAAGGCCACCGTCGCGGAAGAGAGAGAATTCCGTGAATTCCCCCGGAGAATATTCCGCGAAGGAATTCACGAAAGTCACGGATACCGAGTCCGGATGAGAGACGATGAAGCAAAGGTGCCACGTGTTAATCGCTGAATACGAAACGCGGCAGCAGCATCCACCGAAACCTGACGCGTCGCGGCACCTCGGACTGATATCCGCTGACGCCATTCTCGCTGATAACGCGAGGTGCCGTCTTCCCTCCGGGAGAAGATTCCGACGAGTGATCGGCGACTTCCAGGAAACGCGAAACCTGCGTTCCCTACGTCGTGTACGTGTACGAGAGATCTCTTTATCGTGAATTATCGTTACCGTGTAACGAAGAAACGAGATTTTTTAGTATTTGCACTCGTTATACAAAAAAAAAAAAAAATGCAGGTGCGTGAACCTTCCCTAAACAAATTCAGAATCACAACAAAGAAACAAATGCGCGATTAAATAATCGAGACTGTTCATGGTCCATTCGACTTCTTTATTAAAAAAGAAATGCTCCTACATATACAGTCAGTCAAATAAATATTCGTACCCTCTATTTCTATCAAAGAAATTTGTTTGAATTAAATGGAAGATGTGTTGTTCCCGAGTGCATGTTCGATAAATATCTTGACGTATGTATAAATATTTACAGATGTACAAGCTTATTAATATTCATATTTATAAGGAAGAATTCACTTAGTAATATCGAAACTATTATTTAATTTAGTCGAACATCATCGATAGACGCAGAGGGTAATATTTATGAGATCACATGTAACGTTACTGACAAATCTTTCATCGATGCTGCGATAACAACGTGTCGGAAGATCCGCGACAGAGGAGGTGGACCAAAGTGTCAACTAAAGTAATTTCTTAGGGTTACGTTGGCGCCCCCGGTCTGCCAGGTATGCGAGGTGAACCTGGCGAGACGGTGTACGGCGTGAAAGGTGCCATGGGCGAACAAGGGGACAGAGGTGATCCTGGGCCCCCGAGCAGCGGCGAATACAAGACGAAAAAGGGCACCACGACCGTGAAGGGAGTTAAGGGCTACAAGGGTATGAAGGGAGACGTTGGAAACTACGGCTATAAGGGAGAGATGGGCACCAAAGGGCCTCGCGTGAGTATTTTATTTAAAATGATATCACTTGTCCACTTGTAGTCTCGAATATTTGTACAAATTCTCGTTGTAATATGTTCTTTACTTATAAATTGCTTCTTCATTTTTAACCGACTTCGAAAAGGAAGAGATTACTCGATTCGACACGTATATTTTTTCTCTTTTTTTTTTGTGATATTATATCCACGTTTCTTTAACATTCTATATTTATCAGAAGATTATTATTTCAATCGCTCGCTATACTCTTAACGTTGCGTTTCTGTTTCATACACTTTCTTCTGTATTTTTACATAGCGTAAACATAATAGGAGATAACTACGTAACGATATAATATAAATACCAACGTTCGCCAATTTATTTTGTCGGAGAGAAATTTTCTGGAAAATTCGTAACGTAATTACGCGACCCGAAGCGTTCGGGAAATTTGGAAATTAAAAGATAATCTGGCCGTATAATCGGATATTCAAGTATGCGCGCGAATATTTCGCAGGGTCGGCCAGGATTTCTGGGAATCAAAGGTGGAAAAGGAGAGCAGGGTAGCGACGGGCCGAGGGGTAAGCAGGGCGTAGAGGGCCCGGCAGGACCTGCTGGACCAAAGGGGGACAAAGGTGCCCCCGGCTACGAAGGAAATCCAGGATCGACCGGAATTGGCGTAAGTGTCGCGTTTCTATTGTCAGAAAACTGGCAAATACAAGCGCGGCTAATTTGCGACGATTTCGATTCGATTCGCAGGTGTAATCGAACGAAATCGAAATTACTGCGCGATCGATTTTAATTAACGTAATCTCTACGCTGAATGCGACGTACGTTTGCACGAATATTTCATACTCCGATTGCGCGCGTAATATTTACCTCAAATTACAGTCCCGTTACGGTAAACCGTACGCATATTGAATACGCTATTTTTTTTTTTTTCAATTTTACACGCGCGTCGCGAAAACTCGCTAAACGACTCGCGTTCCATTTGCTTTGAAAAACCATTCACGATTTCAATCGTATATTAATGAAGGCGATTTCGAAACATTGGAGGGAAATATGTCAAGCGTCGCTTTTCTCATCGATGTTTTTTTTTTTTTATGAACAAAATATTTAACCGGTATTGTCATGCGAAATGCCCGTTACATCGAAACGAAGTTTCGCTTCGTTTCGAAATGCGTCGCCGCGAATGTAAGACTCGGATTTTAAATTCAGGGGGAGCCGGGAGAACCAGGGAATCAAGGAGCGCCTGGCAAACAAGGGGCTGCTGGAGAACCTGGAAAATATATACCGGAACTCGACGAAATAATTCAAGGGAACATTGGAATTCAGGGAGACGTAGGTTCGTTCCAGATACTTTTTAGAACGTAACAAATGCGAGAACTTTATGTATATAGGAAGTTAAAATACTTAAATAAGTAGGTTCAGTAATTCATTGTATACAATAAGAGTATATGATACTATATAATATAATATTATATCTATATTATAATACATATAATACACAGAGGTTATACAGTATTATATTTTACATATTTATTTATGCACTGTATTTAGTACACTTTACATAGATTATAAAAATACTGTGAATATAACACTGTATAACCTCTGTGGACACTCATGAGCTGTAACAAATTCTTTGAAAAATATTACAAAAATAATATTACATCTCTGGTGTTCGCAAGGACTACGCCGCGACTTTGAATAAACTTGCTCTAACGATACTTTTTGTATCAGGTCCACCCGGTCCGATGGGGGAGTCAGGAACGCCAGGTACGCCAGGCAACGTAGGCTACATCGGTCCACCTGGTCCTCCAGGACCTGCCGGTGCCTCGGGCCTGCCAGGGCCGAAAGGATCTTCCGTCAAAGGCGAGCCAGGATCGGACGGTGCGTCCTCGACAATGTCCCATACAAACCGCCGACAAAGCGTCTTACTAAAAAATGTGTCATTCGAACTGTCGCAGGTTTTCCCGGCCAGATGGGCTCCCAGGGTGTGTCCGGCTTACCTGGTCTACCTGGAGTCGTTGGACCAAAAGGATTCCCCGGCATAACGATCATCGGGCCCCCAGGCATCGACGGAAAGCCTGGAATACCTGGATACTCCGGTCCACCCGGCGATCGCGGTGAACACGGTCTTCCTGGTGAGAACATTCTCGTTACAATTAATACCAAATGAGAATGATGGAAAATGAGAATTATGCCAAATGAGAATATGGAAAATGAGGATCGGCATAAATGGAAAAATGTATAAAATAGTAAAATACGCGTCGGTAGCGGATTTTTATGCATTCGTAGAAAATTTGAATGTTTCAAAGGACTAGAAAATGCACAGGGTGTGCAATAATATTTAAAAATATCGAAAGTAACATTCATATTATAATAAAATAAATTCCTATTTAGGTTCAATTCTTGTTCACGAAGATTTTATTTCGCATAAAGATCCGTATTCTACTAATCGATTATTTATCGTGAAAAATTATAGACGAGTCGCAACTTTATTTTCGAGAATAATGAATTAATAATAGCGTTTTTTAATACAAACAGTTATTATCCTGAAATAGCGCTTTCTAAATCTTTCGCTCCAAGTAGCAATGGCATGACGGCATAATTCTTGTTCATATTTTTACCTCATACGTGTGCTTGTACACTGTGTCACGATTGTAATATTAGATTGTCCCCAAAAGTTTCTTTCGCTTTATTAATAAGTAATACATGCACAATATTTTATGTTTTATGTTACATTACTGAATTGTGCACGATTCATTTTGCTCCATTACCTATGAAATTAGATTGTCTATTTATATAAACACGACCATATAAAATAATTGAGTGCAACTCGCGAAAGAAACTTTCGAGACAACCTAATATAAACCACGACTCGATGCCTGTCGCAGCCAATAATGCCAATTTCTTTCGTTCGAACAGGTCCGAAAGGTTTCCCTGGGAAAGGTATCAGAATCCGCGGTCCTCCCGGCGAACGAGGATTGCCAGGACCACCTGGAATTCCCGGACCCGACGGATGGCCCGGTCGTCCAGGCTGGAAGGGAGCGATAGGTCCGAAGGGCGACGACTGCGGCGTTTGCGCACCAGGCAAGTCGAATCGAACAATCTATAAGCCCCTAAAGGTCTATTTACTCATATCCGTAACGTGTCAGTTCCGTTTCCATATCGTACCAGTTTAACGTCACGGAGCGGTGTCGGACGTCTGCGAACATGCCCATTCAAAAAAACAACAGAAGTATATTCAAAATCACTGACACTGATGGAACATTACGGAACTGAACGGATACGGAACTGACACGTTACGGATACGTGTAAATAGACCTTTACGCGTTTCATTTCTCAATGGTTTCGCTCTGTTTGTCAGTGGAGACCGTCTGGAGAGACAGTATCCTACAGCGGAAGTAACGAAGATGACCAAATCCCAGAAACGAGTTAGCTAACTAACGAATTAAGGTCGATTCAGACTATACGACACGGACCGTCACGTTCCGGCAACGACACGTACCGACACCGACACGACAAAACATTCAAACACGCGTGTTACACTTAACAGACACCGACCTGAACCTTCCGCCAATGGGAATAGCGTGAATAGTTCCATTAAAACGCGTGTTTTAATGTTTTGTCGTGTCGGTGCCGATCCGTGTCGTATAGTCCGAATCGACCTTTAGTACCTAGACAACTCGACTGTCCTTCGCCGCCACTCCAATTTCCAATTTCCTCCGATTTCCAATTGAAGGATATTCCAACCGTAAAGTAACGACGTGTTCGTTCCGTAGGACTGCCTGGCGAGAAAGGTGAAACCGGCGACAGCGGACTGGCCGGATATCCTGGCCAGCCAGGATACCCTGGTTTGCCTGGACCGCGTGGCTTCAAGGGTGCCCACGGAAAAGCTGGTATTCCTGGACCGATGGGCTTGGAAGGCGACAGCGGACGTCCAGGAATCGCCGGTGTCCAGGGACCGAAGGGAGAGAGAGGGAGATTGGTATTGCCTCCGCGCAACAAAACAATCGGAGAGCCTGGCGACATTGGCGACAAAGGGTTCCCTGGACTGGAAGGGCTAAGAGGGCCCAAAGGTGAAATCGGACCGTACGGTGACGTGGGATTTGACGGGCCCAAAGGGGAGAAGGTCAGTACCTCTTATCACCCGCTGGACCTGTTAAGAAAGAATTCTTTATCTATACCACCATCGAGGCACTTTTCGCGATCTTTTTTTTGTTTTAGGGCAAAGTAATAGACGTGAACTTTCGAAATTTGCTATGTTTATTTATACGCGTATGTACAATGTATGTTTGAGTAAATTTGCAACTGTCCTGCTCGATTCGTTTCGAAGTTATCGTAGTTATACCCCGGGTCTGGAGTAAGACTGATTACTTTGATCAAGTAATTGTATAATTGCCGTTACAATTGCATGTAATGTAATGGTATGTCGCATGTAATTGTATTTGCAATTACTTATAACTGCCCAGAAAGGAATTGCCATTACGGTTACTGTGTCGCATGTAATTGTATTTGAAATTACTTAACTACTACCAGTAATTCGATTACCTTTTAATAATTACTCAGAACTGTCCAGAAAGTAATTGAAAGGCGCCTCGAATCTACAGTAGTTCAAAATACCTAATAGTAATAAGAAGGTAATTATAACGACTTTTTTTAATTACATGAATGTAATTATTAAAAAAATAATTGAAATTACTTTTTCTCTTACTGTCTGGGTAATTATAAGTAATTATTAAAAAGTAATTGAATTACTCAGTAATTAAGTACAAGGCATTGCGTAATTACAAAAAACAAAGTAATCGAGAATTACTTAAATAATTACTTTCTAATTCTAAGTAGTCGTGACATTGCAGCTACATACTTTTCGCAGGCCATGTCTAACGATCGTGGATACTGTTTTGTTCCCAGGGTGATCACGGGCTGCCAGGAGTTCCGGGACGAGACGGTTCGCCAGGTGACGATGGCTTCCCTGGCGAGAAAGGCGACGACGCGACGATACCAATCGAGTTCCTGCGAGGTGAACCAGGTTACTGGGGTAACCCTGGGTTGAAGGGTTTCCAGGGCGACCATGGGCGGAAAGGAGACACCGGGGAGGCGTCTGGATACAATATAAATCTGAAGGGAGACAAAGGATTCAAGGGAGAAAGAGGTTTTCCAGGTGAGAAGTTCAACGACCACATAATATCATAATTACACTGCGGATCTTGATGCATTTATAGGAAACTTGAATATGCAAGAGACTACAAAACGCAAACAATATCCAAGAATATAAACAAGATTGAAAGTAAAGTTCATGTTATAATATTTGCAGAATAAAATAAATTCGTATTTAGGTATGTAGGTATTCAGATATTTATTTAGGTTCAATTTTTGTTCACGAAGATTTTATTTTGCATAAAGATCCGCAGTCTAATCGTAATAAATATTCGTACCCCATCTAGGTCATTAACGAAACTTTTCTAAATTAAATGATAGCTGTAACGCTTCCGAATAAATCTTTTATTGTAAGCGTATAAACGCGCAAAGTCTGTTTACGTACGTATGCGTAGTGAAGCATTTATTTGGAAACATTAAACCTATACAGATTCTTCGATATTCTTCGATAAGGATAAAGATGAATTGTATCGAGAAGAATTTCTAATTGTTATTTACAATATTTCTTTTGAAACACGAGTCTCTAACCGTAACTACACAGAAATATATACAAACACTCGAAGCAATTATATGTATTATAGTTGTCGGTAACAGCGAACTTGGACCTTGATTCCTTGCAGGGGACGATGGATTCCCAGGTGAAGTAGGACGACCAGGTGACGAGGGATACCCCGGAGCACCAGGACTTCCTGGATCCCCCGGTATATCGCCTCAGGGTCCCGTGGGACTCAAGGGCTATCCAGGAATGCCGGGAGATCAAGGTTTTCGAGGGACAGCGGGTACTCCAGGAAACCGGGGACCTGTTGGTTTTCCAGTAAGCATACAAGGATTGGAAAACGAATAATTCGGAAAACGTATCGTGTACAGTCGCTGGTAGGGATCTTGTGAGGTCGTAAACCGAAACAGCAGTTAATGATCCCTAGGACGACAGAGATGTCGCGGATCCAAGGTATACATGTCCACGTTATCTCGGATTTTTCCAAACTGGAAAAACCAAAAACTTTTGACGACAATTGGTTAATTCAGTTCCTACCTACCGCGGTATTTTCAATAAGTAAAGTCCTTTCACAAATTGCTGATCCAATCATGCTGCAATTTGTTAAAAGATACTCCCCTAAACTTAACATTAAACACGTACCGTTCAAGGAAGAGGAAACTTCTGAAATGAGAAGATTAAAGAAAGTAGAAAAATTGAATCTCCTTAAGAGAAAAGTATTAGAAAGTAAAAAAGTGATATTGTACGTCGTTTTATTAGTTTAAAACATAAATATTTGAGTCAGTTTGATAAAACAGCAACTTCCATCCTCCGCAGAATGTACTTTACAAAACGAAATAGTTCTATGGTAATTGATTTATCCATCACAGAATTATGCGTGAACATACATAAAAAGACTAAAGTTATCGAAGTACGAGCCTCCTAATTTCGATATCGTACGGTCCTGAACGAAAAGTCTAATAGCTCTATCCCTGTCTAAGAAGGTGTCGGATTACTAATTACGGTCAGTTTAAGTTGTAAAGATCGATTATCCGATCGATTTTGCGACCTCGCGAGATCCCTACCAGCAGGTATACTGGCGGTCATTTTTCGGTGTATCGATTGAAAAGCCCCGACCGTGTTATGGAATCGCTCTCTGTTTGCAGGGACGTTTTGGCAACAAAGGTGACCGAGGTGACCCAGGTACGAACCAGACATACGGCGATTACGGCGACCGAGGTTACACGGGTGAAAAGGGAGAGATCGGTGACGCTGGTCCTGCGGGATTGCGAGGTAGACCTGGAGTAGACGGGGCGAAGGGCAGCAAAGGTGGCAAAGGAGCTCCTGGTATAGAAGGTCTACCTGGCCTTCAGGTAAAATTACACGATCTTACGATACATACAGTAACTGTAATAAGTATTCATACAGGATCCATTTATTTCAACACGTTGTCCGCCATGTCACCCACGGTGCTCTTCACTGAACAGCTAAAAAAATTCATCCTGAAAGTCGAGTATCGTAGGAAATGAATTTAAATGAAATTTATAAATTTTACTAAAGTTATCATGTAGTTATTATGTAGCTTCCAATAGTTTGAATAATATTTAATCTTAGCAGAAAGTTTCATGAATACTTGTCTGGCAGTCAACGTGTTAAATTGGTTGCTGTACGAATGCTTCTTACACTGCCTGTATGTTTTTGAAAGTCCAAGAATTCGTAATGGATTTCATTGTGGAACTTATCGTATCGAATTTGTGAAACAGGGAGCCAAAGGCGTGCATGGCGACAGCCTTCAAGGTCCCAGAGGATTCCCTGGAACGCCTGGACTACCTGGAATGCCTGGAATGGTTGGAGATGTTGGCGTTAAAGGTACGACTACTCGTTGAATTGAATATTACCAGTGGGTCAACTATCGGCGCCATTATCTTAAACGTTTATTAATAGATCAGGAAGTTCGAAGCGTTAAATAAAGCTGATATCAACTGGTATATGGTCAACTACTTCTATCTTAAATGTAGAAAGTTTATTAATAGACGAGGATATTTAAAGCACGAACAGAACTAATATCAACTAGCGCATTTGCCAGATATCGTTACTCGTATCTTAAACATTGAAAGTTTGTTAATAATTCGAAGCATAAAGTATCCAGACATTTTTACCATAGAAGGAATTTTCTATTTTTAAATTTCTACGCTCGTACCTTTCTTTTTACAAACGAATCGAGAGAAAAAATGACCCAAGGAGTTCTGCCCTATAAAGGGTTACCTGTAAAATCTCTCGAATACAAACGTATTATTTTGCAACAAACAAGCAAGAAACGAGAAAGCTTCGAGAAGCTATAAAAAGATCTTGGTTTAAATGATAAACTCTCGTTCAGGCCATGATGGACCACCCGGATTCGACGGAATGAAAGGCTTGAAGGGAGAGATCGGCCTTGTGGGCCGTCGAGGAAACGACGGTGACAGTGGTCCGATGGGTTACGTGGGCAGAGACGGGATGCCAGGTAGATCAGGTGCTCCAGGTGAAGACGGTGACGTCGGTGACCTCGGCGATCCCGGTTTACCTGGCTGGCCTGGTCCCGAAGGAGTTCCTGGTCTCCTCGGAGCTAAAGGGGAACGAGGAAACCATGGACCGTTCGGCGCTTCGGGCATGATGGGCGTGCCTGGTTACAAAGGTGTCCCTGGCGATCCTGGCCCCGACGGTCTCGCCGGACTTCCGGGTGATAACGCCTTCAGTGGACCCCAAGGCGACATCGGCGAACCCGGCTACGTGGGAGAAATCGGTGCACCAGGATTCCCCGGTATCGACGGACGACCTGGTTTACCTGGTGAACCCGGTTTAGCTACCGATGGATTCGATGGTATGCCAGGGCTGAGAGGCGAACCTGGTTACAACGGAACCCATGGAATGCCTGGGCCAAAGGTATGGGAACATGTCGACACCTTAGTCAATGATTTGCTTAGAAATCATTTGTTTCTGGTTATGTCGATATAGGCTGACAGGAAGCCTAGGAGTTGGCGAGGAATAAAATGTTGACTGTAGAAATGGTGATAATTGTGTTTCCAACAGGGAGAGATCGGTGACATGGGACTCGATGGACTGAAAGGAGAAAGGGGAGATTGGGGCTTCCAGGGAAGACCAGGATTGCCTGGTTATCCTGGTGCATACGGTGCTAAAGGTGAACGTGGCCCAATGGGACCGGCTGGTCCCGACGGTACCAAAGGTAACCGAGGAATGGATGGCGATCCTGGCCAAATGGGATTCCCAGGTAGGTTTCTCGAACGTAACTTGCGCTCGAGAGGTGACTCTCTGTCACCACTAGATCTTCTTTAGGTTTAATTTCTTTGGAATTCGAAGTGCACAATAAAATGATTGAGGCAAATAAAATCGTTGAGGCAAAGGTGACCTGATTCTCAAATCTCAAATTAGAGATCTCATTCGAGAAGTCAATATAATCTTAGCATTCGTGGCAATAGAATATTAAAAAAGCATCTCAAGTTAATTATTCGAGTATCGACGGGTTTGACTAACCATCGCACCACCTGTGCACGAAGCTTCGAAGCTCGACATTCGATCAACCTCGTACCGACTTGGGTGAAAACTTTGTTTAGGAATGCCTGGCGATGTCGGGTCTCCAGGACTTCCTGGCTTAATGGGAGCGCCAGGACCAAAAGGTATCGTAGGTGAGCCAGGTATTGCGCTGTACGCCGTGGCGGAAAGGGGTGAATTTGGTGATCCCGGCCGCGATGGACAGCCAGGTGAGAAAGGAGAACAGGGCGAACGAGGATTCAGTGGATTGGCTGGCCGCAAGGTACGCGAACGACTCGTCTTGTAATCGCTCGGTCTAATATAGATCGTTGCATAATAAATCCTGATCCACTTGATTGGGATATAAATATTTTTAATAAAGAAAAATAATTTTAGGGGGCCACAGGTGACGAAGGGTTCCCCGGATCCGATGGATTCCAAGGGATGCCAGGATTTCCAGGACTTCCCGGCGATCAAGGACCTCGCGGTTTTCCAGGTAACAACGAAACGTAATCATTTGTCTTAATGAGAGCGAATATTCGCTATTAAGTGCGAATACGATGCCGTAGGATTGCCTGGGAAATTCGCCGAAAGGGGTGAGCCAGGGCGAGACGGATTGGATGGGCTGCCTGGTACTCCAGGAATTCCTGGACAGAAGGGCGCCCCCGGAGCATATGGATTCGATGGTCCCAAAGGAATTCAAGGAGACGTTGGTCTCAGTTTCCGTGGACCCAAAGGTCTCCCTGGAGATGAAGGTCGATAGTCTCTCGAATATGTTTAAAGTAAAATGAAGTACTTCAGGAAAGTCAATCGCATTTTTTTGTTATCAACATTTATGCATCCTCCCATCCAGGTCCGAAAGGCTTCGCCGGAATGCCTGGAGCACCAGGAATGAGAGGATTGTCGAGTCTACCTGGACCACCTGGACCGAAGGGTTTACAAGGAGACCAAGGAGTACCCGGAATCAGTATAAGAGGACAGCAAGGAGATCGAGGATTGCATGGATTGCATGGCAGATCAGGACGTAAGGGCGAAAGAGGGGATTCAGGACTTCCTGGATTCCCGGGACTGCCGGGGCCGAAGGGAGAAATCGGCGATGACGGTGAGCCTGGTCCACCAGGATTGCCAGGACCTCCAGGTCCACAGGTTAGTCGTTTCGATCATTCGTTCCATTCATTTGATTTTATCTTTCGACAAATAGATCGTTTCGTGGTTATTTACACGTCCACGGATTATCAAGGATTAGTAGCGTTGGTTCCCGACTGTCAGTGAAGCTGACCGACGGGTTGCATACATTGTAATATAAACCTTGAAATTGTAATTTATTTTTCCAACTGTAATGCAACCTGCCGTACCCCTGCGCCTAACTCACTGCAACCTGCCCATGTCAGTTCGTAACAGCGGTTGCCAACGGGCAGGGGCACCCTTG